ACATGTTAACAAGCCTGTCATATTTAATATATATAACTGGCCACCGAAGATGCAAATACTTATTTGATAAGTTTATTGCTTAATACTAACCTAAATAATTAAAAGTGACTTTTTGAATGGTCTCGTTTATGTCTTTTCTATGAAAAGTCTTTTTAATATTGTTGGTATTATAAACATTACTTTTTAGTTTTTATTAACAAAGTAAGACGGCCATTGACCGTTCTGATACAAGGTTATTAGAACGCTGGCTGCGTTCCAAAGACATCGTATTGTAAATTGCGTCATAGGTCTTTTTTGTGCGATTTTTTATGAATGACTCGATCGTTTCAGTTCAATCCGCCAACATTTGTAACTATTAAGCGGAAAGACGCCGACATTGTTCGGAAAAGTAAAGATTCATGCATTTTTTACATCCATTCTATCATATTATGTGAAAATTAAGTCCTTTTTTGTAATTCCAAACTGTTATATGCGAAGTGTAACTTATGTTAATGCGTCCGAGTTTCGATTATGCACTTTTTATTTATAACAAACACATATAATAAAATAGAGTATCTGTAATATTAAAAAAAAAATCTACATTTCGAGAATATGATGTATTTGCGTTGTTGATAACGCATTTAAAAAATGTTTGCCTGTCTGTCTGTCTGCAAGCCGCGTTTGTTCCGGGTAATCTCCAAAACGGCTGGGCCGATTTCGACTCGAATTTCAATGAAAGTTAGCTGACATAGACGTGCATGTTATAGGATAATTTTATCTTAACATTTCGTAAACAAAGTTGCGGACAACAGCTAGTTTGTAATAACCATACTAAATTATACATAACTTACATATGTTTACATCGTACGACGCTGTGATCGTAATAGGCCAGTGGGCCATTAACACGTACTCTACGCAACGAAATAAGGAAACACGCATAGTGGTACAAAAACATAAAATTACGATCATTAGCTGACACTAGCGTATGTAATACATAATGATCATATAAAAGCGTGATAGAGACATTCACCTTTATAAAAAGAAACATTATGACAAAATAGATTATAAAAAAATATAAAAATTAAGTGAACTAAATTTTTATGATACTTTCTGTACATATTTTTTATTCGTAAAGCACAAATGGCATTGTGTAAGCACCTGTAGAATTTATTACGGCAATGTTGCGACCGCGACATTGATCTTCTCAAGGCCAAGGCGTGGCTAGTTCATTGCTACTTCCGGACGGCGAGACGTGTATACTTTGCTGTTATGTTTTGAACAGGCGTTAGATAAACGATGTTCTTTTCCCTTTCAAATAATAACAATTTGAAATCATAAAAAGTAAAATATTTATTAATGTTAACTTTATTTTGTAACAAACGTGAGGCTTTCACACAGTGGGATATCATTTATTTATAACTAGCTGTTCCTGTGCGACTGCATCCGCATGAAATTATGAAAATTTTATTTTATTGTTTACATGTGTCAAATTATTAATTACAAATGTTAAAATGACATGACACGATGACAACCTTGCTTCCTTAATGTTGGCAGCAACTTATGGTCTCTTTCCCACATTGGGGTTTTTATCCAAAATATTAACCCCTAAGTTTAATGACGTTAAAATATTTAGCCTAAAGCGTGACGTGAGGGTAGGGCTTTTTATTAAAAAAGAATTATTTAAAAATATACTGTAATTGCTAACATCTTAGGCAACAAGAAAGTGTGTGTTTACGTTGTATTATAATAGTCATGTCATTTTTTTGATATAAAGTTGCATCCAAGGCGTTAATTTGTAAAGTTAATTTTTGCTCAGAAATTCTGTTCTTGAATTTGATGCAATTACTTTTTTTAATTCACTTATCTAACACAGTACAATATCTATGATTCCATTGCGTGTGTGTCCACTCATATGCACTATTATCCTTTTTGTGCAGCCATTGTCAGTAAGAGTAAAGCGCAGACGGTCGCCCGTACAGGGCAGATAACTTCACATTTTTCTGTATCACAAGCAAACTAGTGAGCGGCCACCTGAATTTGCCGAGAAAGCGAAGCGACTGCTGCCCATAAACATCCACAATTGCAGATACGCCTACCCTTAATCAACGGAGAAGGAGATACACGTAAAGGGGATATGTATTTCCCTTTCCAATGCGTCTGTTACATCTTCAAATCCCCTTTTCCTTCCTATCTTTTGAACGCGGAATTGCTTTCACTTCACGCCGGTTTTCTGTGTGCTCGTGGTATTTCACCGGGTGACCCGGCTCATTCGTACGGTGTTAAAGTGGGCCCTATTACTGTCTACAGAAGCCTGTTAACCTCACATCCTCAGACCTGGTATAAATGAGGCGTAGAGAACTCGCCCAAGAAGGTAGGAATTGAAGAATAGATTCTGAAACATTCTATTTTAAAAGAGCATGTAGAAGTAAATTTTAGTTACTATCATAGCTTTCTATTTCAATTTACCCTTGGGTGGTATTAACTGTTAGTATTCATGTCTTGTAGAACACATTTAAATCTTGTAAAACGAACATCGCATAACATAACAGTGTTTTGATTGTAAATTGTATCATACATTTTGAACTAGATCTTAAATAGAATATAAATTGCATATTTGATATGTCTTGAATAATTTCGAATTTCTATCGAAATTAAAGAAAGTCATACTTTGATGACGTGATGCTGAGCGTCGGTGGCTCAGTGGTTTAAGTACTTGACTTAAAATCGATAGGTCTTGGGTTCGAATCCCGCCATGTATCATGATTTTCATATGTGTTAGCCGATGTTCTTACGGTGAAGGAGAACATCGTCATGCAACCTGCACATATCGGTTTTTCGTACTTCATGCCTTTATTTATTCTTTTTCTATTCTCGTATTTACTCGTAGTATTTAATAAAAAAACAGCATTGTAATGTTCATTGAAGTTTATTATTATACATTTCATTAATAAATTACACACAAACATACGTACAAGCAAACAAAAAAACATAATGAGTATTGTACAGAACGGATTAACAAAAAAAATAAAAACAAAATTTGGTGGCCACGATTTCTAAAAGTAAAAAATAAAAATATAAATATAAATATTTTACATAAAATAGAAAATATAAACATGAAAATATAAAGTCAAGGGCATAATTAATGAGAACAAAAAAGTATACATAAATATGAAAATAAATAAATTGAAATGAATAGATAATATTTACGAGTACATAAACTATACATGAATATAAAAAATATATTCAATATATAACAATATCAAGATAAATATCATAAATATAATAAATATTTACACGTAAAATATATTACAATAATATCACAAATTAACTCAAAATACTAAAATCCGACACACAAATTAAAAATCCTTTTCAGTCAGATTATTAAAATAAACAAAACAAAAGAAAAACAACATAAAATGACCGAAAAGAAAAAAAAAACAAACTAAAAAAAATCAACGAAAATATTCATACTCTCTCACACTCACACAATAAATTAATCAATAAATAGCTTCGAAAATTATTTAACAACAAAAAGAGCTTCGAAATTTTTACCCGGAATTAATTATTTGGTTGCATTATTGACTATACGCGGAGTATGCTAAGTTGCTAGCATCGTTTTTAGAACGAGACCAACCGCCGTCCCAACCTCCATGTTGGGGATGTTCCTCGTGTGTGGTCACCCAGGTATGCTCTTCTTGGGAATGTTTCTTGGCGATAAGAGCCTTTACAATGGCGATAACTTTGGCGATAAACGCAATCTTGGCGATAAGAGCGAGCTTGAATACGGATGCGGCGATCACTACAAGAGCTAGGACAACGATTGCGACAGCTTTCACTTTCGCTAAGATGGCGAGAGGAATGAGGAGTTTCAACTTCTTCTTGATCTGCTTCTTCTTCTTTCCACGGCCTTCAGCTGAAATAAAACATTCAATTAATTAAATTGAAATAGCTTTGTATTCATACAATAGTATTATAAAAGAATGCAAGCATTAAAAATGACACACTAAGCTTTGCATTGTCTAATAAATATTGCCTAATTTGGAATTAGAATTGGCAAAATATAACCGTAATAAAAATAGCGAAATCAAAGATAACAAAGCAGTTCAGGAGAGTAGAAACGATAATATGTGTGGACATAAAATATTCCATTAAACTGATCATTCTTGACCTCTGGGTCACTCACTAAGACGTGATAAAATGTTCGTGAAAGCATCTCATAATTTTATATGCAGTAATAAAACAATCACTTTCCTTTTTGTGGAAACTTCTCTAACGTCATTTGTTATATATGGAAAAGAATTTAAAATTAATACTTCTTGTGACTTATCCAACAGAAATAGCTTTAATTTGGCACTAGGATATGGTTTTTAACAATAGAATAGTGAGAATCGAATCCACAACTGTTTGATAGCGACCTGTTCTCTTAAATCACTAGGCAGTTGGTAATCAAATTGACTAATTTATGCGTTAAAATATAAATCAATAACGGAACAAACTGGAACCAGAATAACAGTGGAATTACACTGTCGCTACACTTTGTTCACAGACATTGTTGTCTCAGTTTTGGATAATAGAAAGAAAGGGACAGCGATATGTATTAAGTCAAGTAAGACGACAGTGGAATTCTGCTGTTAGTTGTTTTCTTAGAAGTGTCATATCGAATTAACCGTTAAACTAACCATACGTTTTATGTGTAACCGTAAAATGAAAAGTAGTTTATAACCACCGGACAAACAACTAGAAAGAGAAATTTCACCCGATTTTATTTAAAAAATACCACTATTTTTACAATTAATAGATTATTGTTGGAATGTAATTTGTTATTTTAAAGTCAAACAAGAATATCTGTGTTAGACAGAGTGACTTTCGATTATCGCTATCTTTATTAGAATTGACAAAATATGTCAAAACGTATGGGAATAAATTCGTGAGAAACTCATCACTTGAGTGACAGTACAAGCCGAAGTCCTATCAGGGACCCTTGAGAGACGTTCCCATGGAGCGTCAACAGAAGCTTGGCGGCCAATCTGGTATAATGTAATAATTTAGTCTGACTTACGACTACCGACTCAGATATTTCGTCTGTCTATACAAATATATTTGTGATTACTTGAAGAGCGTGCGCATATCTTTTTCTAGTCGCGATTTGATTCCTATAAGCTTATATTGAGGTGCCTATACCTGAATTTTAGTTGTGCAACTAAACAGTTGAATTTGCTGCGAAACAATCTACAATCGCACAATATGTGATCGACTTTAATATTTGCTATCTTTTTTTGTTGAAAATAATGAAAGGAATGAGAATTAAATTATAACAATTAATTAGTTTAAAAATAATGTCTCCGTGGAATTTTACAGAGAAAACAACGTGAGAAAACATAAAATTAATTAAATCACAACATTCTCTTCATTTGTTTTGGAAAGTTTGTTAAAATTTATAATTGCTGGGAGATGTACGCACTGCGTGCTTTGAGAATATTTTGTGAGAGTGCGTTTGTTAGTTTTACAGTAAAATTCCACTGACGACTTGCATTAAGTCCGCTATTTTAACTGTACAGTCGAATTGCACAGTTAAAACTAAAGGTGTTGCGGATTTTAGAGTTCGTCTGTATAATAAAAACTAACTGCGTGTAGGCAAAATTTGAACTTTACAATTAAAGTTACCAAACGTACAGATTTAATTGTGCTTGCGATTTTAAGGTTAAAATTTTGAAGCTTGATTTAAAACATAATTTTATCACTATATAAGAGTGGAAAGTACATTTTGGTGCACGTATTTGACCCTTTGGTTCATATTTATCTTGAACGAAATCAGAATCTAGTGTTAAAAATACGTTTTTAAAGAATTTTACCGCTGTTTAAAAGTTAACGACTTTCATGCGTGTTTGAGAATAATATTATGATATCGAAATACATCTTAATTTTCAAAGATACTTCTAAAACCATGGGTTAGATTTTACTATCTACTTAAGAACAATGATCTCACTGCAAATAGGAAAGCAGTTATTTTTTCACATGATTAACGATTTCTGTAGTTTTCAATGAAATAGTTATTTTACCTTCATCTAAAGACCTGGATTCTTCATCATCATCATCAGCACCATTAAAACTGAGTTCCAAGTCGCTCTTAGTAAGCAGTTCAGAGGCGCTCTCCCAAAGTCTTTCGTTGATCTGTCTGCTTCTTTGTTCAGGGTCTGTGGCTAAAGGTTCCAAGCTACGTGCTTCTTTAGGTCCATTATTGTAAAGTGTTACTCCTTCAATTATGTTCAGCTTTCTTACTGTACCAAGGCGTTCGGTAGCTTTCAAAGCTTGTTCCTGTGAAATAATCAGATTGTTATATTTTAATAATGTTTTCTAAATTCTAAATTCAATCTTGGTTAAGATTCATTTAGAATTGTGAATTCTGTTATTATTTTTAAAAATATTAAATTTTAAAAGAGCTTTCTTAATTTTGAAGTTTATCACTTAACAATTTTAATTTACTTATGTTTTAAGTTATTTTTTTAAAGTGTTAACACTGCTGTTATTTTATCGATCGTCCAATAAGCACGAACACAAAGTAAACGTCGCGCAAAGAAAGTGAGTTGGGAATGTCGCATGCGAAACCAGTTGGTCCTTTCAACTTCGATCTTAAGAAAACGTTCCATTATTGAACACTGATATTACCTTCAAGCACATATTCAAATCACTGTTCATGCAATTCACAAAGTTTCCTATCACCGATTTCATCACTGTATCTTCTTGAGACAAAGGCACACATCTTGCTACAGCCACAACACTTAACAATATGATGAACTTCATCTTTTTTATTTTTTTTTTAATTTTTGACGTACGTCCTCAAGCGGAGCCGATTGGACAGTGTTCATCGGCAGATTGGTAAGAGTTTTTTATCTAAATTTCCCCCACTATCCCGTTTGGTCATATTAACATTTTAATGTAATTGATGCTGTATTCACGACGTAGAAGACATTATGCCATAGTTAGTGACATAGTTATTTTTTTCATTAATATTTATTTTATTTCTGATACGCGCGCGCTTTTTCTTTCATTTATGTAAGGTTTATGCAAAAGGTGTGAAAACTGTTAGACAATTTTTTACAACACTAGCTTTTACTCGCGACTTTGCTCGCGCGGGATTAAAATATTCTATATATTATTTGTATCAGAATTTTTGAAACAGGTTCAGTATTTTCGAAGCATATTCAATGCAACAGTAAAATATTTTCTCTTTAGTAGATTACATTGTCATTAAAACTGGTTTAAAATTTGTTTCGAAATATTGAAAAACAAGAAATAAAATTGAAGAAATAATTTATTTTTTTTATAAATTAATTTGAGGTACATTCACACACAAATAAATACACACATACACAAATAAATAAACAAACGTTCTGTTCTAATTTCCCAATTGTCCAGCATATGCTAGAGATTGAGCATCATTGACTCGTCTGCTCCATCCACCTGCAGGTTCATAGGAGTACCCTGGATGCTCATCATGATGCTGGGGAGATGCTGCATAGGATACTACTCCTGAATCATGATTATTCTTGCTCAGTAACCTTCTGATTAAGTTGAAAGCATTGATGGCGAATGCGATCTTTCCTAAGAAGACAGCCTTAACTGCGACGAAAGCGATGATACCGAGGAAGAGTGGAACAAGAGCGGCGAGTTTGACCTTTAATAGGAGAAGAAGAGGCAGGAGCTGCTTGATCTTCTTCTTCTTCTTGCCACGAGCTAGAACAATTAGATAATTTTAAGTTGTAGCTTAAAGGTTAGGAGTACGAATTTCCGATAACGTGGTCGAAGGTTAGAATCCCACCATTATTGCCCTTAACAAGCACAAGCTTAGAGCTTAGTTGCAATGGTAAAAGAAACATCAGGAAATTAACAAATATCCACTACTATTTACATTAAAAAAAGTTTAATGTTTCGATCTGTCAGCGGAACACAGGCCAGTTTTCGTTTGATCTGTAACTTTCTGGACAGCCTGTAGAAGTTGCTGCTATAATATTTCTTTAATCAGATTACGATAAACTCTTAAATTGACACTAATCTATCGTTCACTTACTACTGTTTAAAAATAATGTAGTGCCTGAAAGTCTTAAAGATATTAGAAATTGCAGAGTAAGACTGTAATTTAATATGCAATCTTCATTGTTAACCTGAGGTCGTTCAGTGCTAAACGTAGGTCTCCCCATCGATTATTACTATACCCGGTCATGTGTCTTCAACCAGTGCATTTTTGCAACCTTGACCTTCATCGGTCCAATGATATGAAATATAATCATGATCTAACTGAATTGTAAGTCTTACCTTCTTCATCAAGATCACGACCTTCAGAATCCTCAGACAAACGCAACTGCAGTACGTGATTGTCTAAGAAATCGCCCACGTTATTAGCGATTCTCTCCTCCAATTGAGTTTCCCTCGCCTTCGGATCTTCAACCAAAGGTTCGTAGCTTCGTGAACTGCGAGCTGAACCGGTGTTTACTAAGCTGATGCCTTCGTATATGTCTAAGTTCTTAGCAACTGCTAACCTCTCGGTTAGTCTGTATGCCTTTTCCTGGAATAATTGAAACATATGTGAATAAATTGTTACAATGAAGCCATTTAATGTGTTTTATGAAATCTTACTAATATTATAAATGTGAAGTTTAGATGGATGGATGTTTGTTAGAGTTTGTAGCCTAAACTGCTGAACGGATTCTGATGAAATTAGACATAGATGAAGAGTATTGTGTTTAGATTACACTTTTGTATGTATTGTTTTATTATACTTTAATCGATAGTAATGGTTTGAAGTCATCTAGCTTTATAGGTAAACGTGAGATACTAGAAACCCGTCCCAGCTTTACTTGCAAGATAGGCAAACAAATATTTCCTAGTTAATAGTCAGAAGAGTTTTGCAATCGTTAGAGATTTAAGATTTCGTTCAGTAGTTGTTTAGTTTATCCGTAACTAACAACTGTTTGTGTTTCAAATAGTAGGAGAGACTCGTTTTTATCCACATCACTGCACTTTAACACGTAAAATCACTTATCACCTTTAAGCACAATGACGTGTCTCCGTCCACACAATCGGAGACTGCGCCCACAAAGTTTTCTGCGACACCGTTTTCAATCGGGCTGGTATACACTGTTGCCAAGAAGGCTACACACAATGCTATCTTCAACATGATTCCTGTTATGAATGTATTACAAGCAATGCTGAACAGGTTATGGTTTCTTCCAAAAAATGTGATGTATTTTATCCTTAAGCCCCCACTATGTGACTGAAGATGACGCAAAGTAATGTTCAGTTTGACGGCTTGTGCTAACTGATGGGGCGCGCGTCAAAGTTCTGTACACGTAAGGATAAGTAGAAAAATAAATATTGAATGTTAGAAAGCGTTTTCTGACATCCCAGTACGAGTTAGCGTTTATTATGTGTACATGAAATGAAAGAAAAAGTGGCATTATTTACACTTCTTAGGCTCCAGTGAAAATGGTTGTGTAATATTGATTTTATTCACATGTGACTTAATATTAAAAATATAATTTTAACTTATAATTTAAAATAAAGAATATTAGAAAAGAATTGATCACTTTGGCATAAACATTTTCTATTTTTATATATAGCCAATTTTAATACGTCGTATAGGAGGTTATAATAGTCAACACAAAACCGGAAAGGATAGTGTCGTATGACCTCGATTGACTTTCCTTAGTCGCATTTCTTTCTGGCAATTTCTCATTTGAATTGTTTTCGTTTTCATTCAATAATATTTTGCTAACATTAAAATTAAGGTTGTATCTTTCTCACTTTTTATTTTTTTATATAATAATTTGAAATCAAATATTTATATAATACTAGCTATGACCCGCGACTGCTTTCATGTTGAATTAATTAGTCTATATGTCAAAAACTACTCTACATCTATGAGAAATTTCTTCGCGATCCGTTCAGCAGCTTAGGCAACAAACTCTAACAAACATCCGTCTAAACATTTGCATTTATAATATTAGTAAAATTAAGAATATAGTTGCATCTTAATCGCTTACGAGGCTTTGATATTTTAATTCATAAATCAATTCAATGAATATTCACATAGAAACCAGATGGTTATATAAAAAGAGGAAGTGTAATTGGTTTAGAAAGAGGTATTAGTTACCTCAGATTGGTAATGGATTATACACAGATTATTTCTTTGACTTTTAAATGTCAGGACTTGTCAAGCGGGCGGACATCGCTGCCAATAAATAAATAAAAAAGCCTTTTACTACCAGAAACTTAGTTTACATAACAATTTTTCTTTTAATTGACTACTTACACATTTAAAATTTTTCGAATTAATACATTTTTGGATGTAAATTACATAAAAATTAAGTAGACTATTTGTTTTTTTTTTTCTGCAAAATAGTGAATAATAAATTCTACTTTTACGCTCTTTTAATTAAAAGTTAAGTATACGTTTAAAAATATATTTTTTAAAATTGTACATAAATCATCCAGAGCATATTAGCAAATTACGCAGACGTGTTATTTTATTGTTTATATTTTATTTTATTATTATCATGTTTATTTCACCATCCGCGTTAAGTGGTTTTAATACAACAGTTCGTTGCTAAGTCCATTTCTCTATAGTCAAAGTATTATAAATATTATTTTGACTGTAATTACATCGTGTTTGGGATGTGTGTGACTGTGTGTGTGGCTATTGATTTATGTGTTTTAAGTGAAAGTGGTATGGCTGGTATGAAACAAGTTAATATAACTTCCTATGTACCTTAAAAGGTACTTAAAAATGTATATGTCGAGGAAAATAACGATATAATGTTAATCATATATATGTAGCTTAAACTACTACGATGGTAACAATTCTATTTCACGCATTTCATTCTTTTCGTCCCATTTCACTAATTCCATTCCATCCTTTTCATTCCGTTGGATTTATTTTCCAAGTCTAGTCGTCATTTAGGTCTCCTTTTTGATTTTTGAATTAAGAAGGAGTCATTGTTTTTTTTTGACCGACTTCCCAAAAGAAGGAGGTACTCAATTCGTCTGTATGTTTTTTTTTATGTGAGTTACAGCATAACTCGGCCGCTAGTGGACCGATTTTGACAATTCTTTTTTTATCCGAAAAGTAATGCTTGCAGGGTCCCATTTTTTGTTTGTTTTGTATATTAATGATAAATTACTCGGTAGAGATTTCATTTCTCCAGCCTACATTTATTAACAAAAAGGCTGTAAAATCTCACACAAAGATTTCTCAGAGAGATAAATCTAATTTGTACGTTCCTTTTTCTTTGTCATTGTTTATGCTGGTTTAATCTTGTTATTTCGGATTCATTTAACCTTAGACGTGTTTTTGAATTATTTTAATTATCATATTTTACTATTACTATTACTATAATGATGTACTCGTAATAAGCAACTGTTAATGTAAACCAGTGATTTTTTTCTCTTTTTAATCGAATCTAAATACTTTTAACAAATAAAATATTATATGAATGTCGTAATGAAGTGAATTATTGTTTCAATTTAATATCATATTTATTTGAATGCTACTTGATTTTTTTTGTTACTTTTCTAATTGATTTTGTGTAATTCCGAGGTTAGATTTTATCTATACATAAGAAAGAAAGAAAGAAAGAAAGAAATCAGTTTATTCAATAAATGAAAAGGAATTCATTCGGCATGTGCTCGGTGTACACCGAAGCGCCGGTTTTCAATGATTCCTAAAAACAGAACACGCAGTTTTACAAAATAGTAGAAGGAAAATAAAACACATGTACTTAATGTTACACTCGGTCACAACTAGAAAACTTAATCTAAATCTAAATCTATGGAGAAAACAAAAAAAAAAAAACAAAACAAAACAAAACACAAATAAAAACACTCAGATCTTACTGTAGTGTAATGTACCTAAATTATTTTAAAATTAACATTACTTATATTGGATTGCTGAAGTTTACATTCACTTTATCATAACCCAGTGATTCATTAGTAAGCTAAGTTTCTAACAAGTAAAACTCATGTTATGTAGTTCAGAAACACATTTCAAGAAGTAATCGAACCATAATCACTAACGAATGATTAAAAGTATCTAGGAAACTGACCATAATTTGCATATAACAAATGTAAAGGCTCAAGCTACGGTTGTCCGTTAGCAGGCGACACCAAACGACTTCACTATGTGCCACAATTTTTTACAAAAGTAGTAAAAAATAAATAAATAAAGTAACACACCTCATAACGCATACATGACTATTTATTTATTCATTCATTCATTCATTCATTCATTCGTTCATTCGTTCATTCGTTCATTCGTTCATTCGTTCATTCGTTCATTCGTTCATTCGTTCATTCGTTCATTCGTTCATTCGTTCATTCATTTATTTATTTATTTATTTATTTATTTATTTTTTTATTTATTTATGTACAACCACAACATATCTAGACACACTTCTTTGTTGCCTAACATGTCAGCAATTACAGCACATTTTTAAATAATTGTTTCTTTTAATAAAATGCCCTACACTAACGTCACGCTTTAGGCTATATATTTTTACGCCATTAAACTTAGGGGGTAAATATTTTGGATAAAAACCCTAATGTGGGAAAGAGACCATAAGTTGCTGTCAACATCAAGGAAGCAAGGTTGCCATTATGTCATGTCATTATTACATTTGTAACTGATAATTTCACAAATGTAAACAATAAAATAAAATTTTCATAATTCCATGCGGATGAAGTCGCACAGGAACAGCTAGTAATATCTAAGTTACAAATAAGTAAGCGACCGCTGACCATGAATTATTATAAAACGATTAAGTAATTGAGCTCAAGTGTACAATTGTGTTACATCGATAGCTGATGCAATACTTGCATTACGACCGCCTCAACGGTGAAAGTATGCGATTGCTTTTTTTACTTGTCGCGAAATTCAAGACCTTTTAAAACTTACGCCTAGATGTAAGTAAAGAATGATATAGAATTATATTTATTGCATGCTAGTTATCAAAACCACTAATTTATTTTTTCTTATATAGTACTAATTTTCGCCCGCGACTCCGTCTGCGTGGAATAAAAAAACAAATGAAGCCTATGTACTCTTCCAGACTATCCTCTACATCTGTACCAATTTTCATCGAAAGCCGTTCAGCCGTATAGGCTATAAACCTTTTTTTTTTTCATAGGAAAAGCGTTTCAAACGAGCATCAGATCACTAAGTATTAACCGATCCGATGCCCATTAACTCTAACAAACATCCATCGATCTAAGTTTTCGTACTTATATTATGAGTGACATGATACGTATGATGTGTCATTCTAAAATGTCTAAAAACAGTTTATCATGGCAGTATTTCTAACCAAGTACCACAAACAATGATCCTTCAAAAAGCACGTGTACCTTTTTCTCAAGGGCCGACAACGTCATTAGTATTGTGGATGTCCGTAAACATGGTTGATCAATCTACTTTATTTATGTACACAAAAAACCTAAATGTGTAGCTATCGCCTAGTAAATGTCTTAATTCTAAATTGTAAGTCGTTTCCGAGGTTTAAAAATCCTAGCTTATAAATAATGGATTAGGTTACTGTCACTGGTAGCTTTTCGACCAAAAGTCATGTAACGCGTTTAAGTCTTTTACATGACGGGTCGTAAAAAAATGAGGTCTCTGACTTTTCTAATCGGCCCTACCTAAAGTCAAATCACTTTCTAATCTTTAATTATGTCTATAAAATTATTTATTAATAGATTTAATTATAGTCTTCCGTTTTAGATTAATAAAAGTGAAATTATATTTAACTCAAAGATCGTATTTGACTTAAAGTATTGTTTAAATGTTTCCTGATCTTTTTTTTCAACTCTAATTTTAATGAACCTTTTGCTTATTGTACAATTTCATTACCGTAACATAATTCAAAAACATACTGTCTCGAAACAAAAGAAAGTATTTCACGAATTAAGTTACGTCAATTAACTTATTAATTTAATTTCTACATTAAAATAGTAACATTAAAAAAAAGTTGAACATTATTTACATGAGAAGATATTCAACTTAAATTCTAATGAAAATGTATGTTAGTGAAATCGGTTAAAATAGTTTACGGTCGCGCCTACCACATAAAGTATTATTTATCAAAATGAAAATTCCTTAGAAACCGAAAAGAAAGTGACTACCGATGACTCAGAAACTGGGTGTTGGTTAAGAATGTGAGTGACCTTGAGCAATGGTATTTTTGTCGTAAAAGGGGCTTGGTATATCCTACTTTAAATCTGCTATGTTTAAAAGCTACTAGCGAACTTTAAGTCATAGATAAATATAATATACCATAAATTACGACCATTTCGTCTGCACATGCTAATCGACTTCACTTATAATTTTATTTCCTATTTAAAAATGTTTGACAATAATCTATGGTATGTTATACAAAGAAAGGATGGGAAGCGGAAGTGGATTTGGCGGTGTAGGTAACGCCTAGGTAGGGAAAATAATGGCGGGGTTGCGGACGTAAGCGAAAGCGTGCCCTTGGCCTCAGCCTAATGCGTTGGAAGAACAGAGGGGTTTAGTAGAATGCCTCACTAGAGGAGAATCCAACATGACTACCGTATAGCCTTCGGCGCGATAGTATACATAAAGTATTCTTATCTGAAAAAAAAGGTAGGGGACATATCCTCTTTTTGTGTATCCCTTATCTTTTAAACTAAGGCAAGGCATATAAAAACACTCCCGTTTTTAGACAAGCTGTCGTATCGGTATTTTGTGATATTACTCGTATGATCGCCCCAAGTAAAATGAACAGAAATAAATCTATAACAAAAATACTAGCACATTAATGTTATCATGAAAGCCTTTGTTCAAGAAGAGAAAAGCTTTATGTATTTATACAAGTTTTATGACAGTGGAAAACCACAGTTTGGGAAGATATTTAAAATGCGTATGATGGGTGCGGTTGTACAAACTTTCGCATTGCACCGCGTCCTGAGCGGTTGTAACTCACGGTCATGGGTCATATGATTTTCATGTATAACTGACATACATAAAGATATGTGTGTACTATGATGTACTTTACAATTGATAATTTAATTAGCTGACACTAAATTGGTTAAATCTATTACTAAGCATTTCGGTAAAATTTTTCGAGGTAACATCCTAAAATTTTGTGAGCGGCTTATTCTGACTTTTTTTTATTGAAATTAAAATGAAATTATAATAATATTTTTGTTTTGTAGAGTACTGTACGAATGTAAGATAAGAGCTTATTAATAAATTAAAAAAAATGTTATATAAAAAAAATGGGAGCATAAGCTTTGTCGTTGCAATTGACAATTACATAAAAAGGATTATTGCAAATTATTATTAATGAATGCTTTAGCATTAACATAATAAACGTTGTGTAAAATGTACGTATAATTCACGAACGAAGTTGCCACCATTTTGTGACTTGCATATCATGCTCAAACTTTGTTAAAACTTATATGGTTTTAATATCGTTTTATTTTCTCAGAATAACGACATGACGTGTTCAAAATAGATGTTTACGGATTGCATCCGCCTCCGTACGGTCGTGCACATTATGTTTTCAAACAAACCTAACACGTTAACGACCCACATACACATAGGGTTGGCAAAATACATGTGTTTATTTTCATTCATGATTTCTAAAACTATTATATTTATTTATCTATTTTAATAAAACTTTATCTTTAATGTTTGCTGTTCCTATTCTAGCTTAACCACTGAACATATTCGGTTCTAAAACGCCAGATAAATTCTTTTTTTGTCGAGATATTTATTAAACTAGATAAGTTAGTTTAATTTTCTACATCTAAAGACCTTATATCCTTATGAGCGTCTGTCGATAAAAGTATTACCTTAAAGATGATTAGTATCTTCTTCAAAAAAGAACTTGAAATTTGGACAACCCTAAACGTGACACATGATATTTAGGCAGACGATTTCACGCGATGCAGTGCGTTGCATCTATTCATACCCACGTTCACACATACATAAATTCATGGATCCTTTGTTAATGTTGAGTATAGGTTTCTTACACTAAGGAGTACTTAACGTTTCTGAGTGCAGTTATATATTATATTTCATATTAGGAACAGAATTTTAAGGAAGTTTACTTAGATTTTTATACTTTATTTTTAATTCTGCTTTGAGGAGAGGAACTAAAACATTTTTTTTGAGAGGGACTAGATGAGGAAAAATCACATAATTCCAGAATGGCTTAATGCATAAAGATAAAATTAATAACAGATATAAATTACAGTCTATAATAACGCATTGGATATTGTTTTTATTATTCCATTCAGATGAAGCCGTGTGAAATAGCTAGTAAGTTATATTAACATATATGTAACTGTCCGTCACGTACACATTGTGTAAGTCTCAAAAATTCTTTTACTTGAAAATGAAAGTTTTTTTTTCGTACATCGTAACGCATCCGCTTATATCATCTCACGATGTATGCCATTATAGACCTACTTTCTTTCAACTTAAGAGTGAAAGTTACTTGTACTCATGTGAAACTTCCAGTAACCTATTGTTTAAATAATTTTCTGTTGACAAAACTATTTACGAGTTAATATTTGATGTGCCGAGTACTAATTGCACTGAACTTTCAACAAACAATAAATCAGTTTTTGTTATGTGTACCCGTTTTGTCGTAGCTCGTTAAATCTCTTTTGTAAAAAAACTACTTTCGAAATTTGATAATTACATTTAAGATAAATAAACTATAGGTTTAGAAAGATTTAGATATTCTTTAGAAAAATACTAACGTTAGTACACTACGCCTGGTGTAAAATGTCTTATAGAGTCACAAAAGCGGTTAAGAATTTTATTGAATAATTATTTCAAATGTATTTAAATTAATTTATAATATACAACTTTCCCCAAATAATTTATTTCTACAGTATAATGTGTATAAAATATTCTTTTAAAATGTATTATTAATAATTAATGGTAATATATTTTCTATATAACATACTTTTACCTTCTGTTGGCATATAGAAGTGTGTACTTGAAACTGATGAGACCTCATCTCATATTCAAGGATTTCATTGACTCTTGTAGGGCAACTGACTTTGGTAATTTGCCAAAACATCATTCAGAAGCGACGTTTACCTACTTTCCATTAAGATATATTTTTCATACATATTTTCGGTAGTATATTTTTTAAGATAAAGTTACCGGGAGTTAAATAAATTCTTCAATTTTTGTATAAAAGTTTTATTTCCCTTATGTAGATCTGTTGCAAATGTTTTATTTTGTATCTTAAATAATAACATTCGTATATATCGGTAATAAATATTTCGACTCGTTTCAATGCACGCATACTTCTATCGTATTTATATAATATAAAAAAAAATAAGAAAACTTAAAGAAATCATATCTTTGGAATATAAAACTTAAAAAATAAATATTTGGTAAAACAACCAGTATTACTCAATATCTTCTAAAAAAAATGTGCAAAAGAAATAAAAAAATATACTACATAAATATCATAATAACGTAAATATATATTACATAAACTAAATTAAAATCAGTCATGAACTTAATAGACAAAAAAAAATATACATACATAATAAAAATACTGTACAGTAAAACTCACAATCTTTCACACTCACAAATTAAACGCGTCATAAACGGTGGTTAAGAAAGAAATAAAATTTAAATACGTGATATAAAAAACGCTTTTAGACTTAGATTACACGAATAAATAAATAAATAACTTAAATTGTTATCTACGATTGCTTAGCGTGGGCTGCGTAAGCTAAGTTTTGGGCATCTTGGGACCTTCCCCATCCGCCACCGCTTTCCCAACCATGCTCCTCATGAGGTGGTTCAGACCAGCCGCTGTTCTTCTTCGATTCTAAAAGCTTCTTCAAAGCTCCGAATGCTGCGGCAATGAAAGCTATCTTGCCGAGGAGGTAAGCCTTGAAGACAGCGAAGGCGATGATGCCAAGGAAGAGAGGTACGAGTGCAGCGAGCTTCAGTTTAATCAAAGCTAAGATGGGAAGGAGCTTCTTCAGCTTCTTCTTCTTCTTACCACGACCTGGAATCAAGAACAATATTAAATTCACCATCATAATCAACCTGTTCTTATCCCTACGGAGGGTTGGCACAGTATGTACTCTTGCATCATCTCTATCATCCGTCATATCTGAATTCACCCCCTTCTTACGCATATCCTCTTTCACACAATTCATCTATACTTTCTTCTGTCCTTCTCTTGTGTCATTCAATCTTAATACTTTATTGTTTGTGTGATTGTCATATCTTCCCTTATATTAAAAACACTACGCTGAATTTAAATTGTCGTAAGTAAATTAACATATATGGCATGTTAGATGATTAACTACTAAAAATGACTATTAACTGATAAAAATTACTATAAAATTAAATTGTAAAGGACTCATTATTTTGCTAATTTAAATTGCGTTGCTAAATATAACACGATAATTTAATAAATCACGTTTTAGGTACATTAAATCAGAATTACTGTGTTCACTAACTGCTCCACTTCGAAGCGTAAAACACAAAGACTTAACTCAGTACACCAGCAAGTATATCAATGTTCACTTGATAATCATTATGTTAATTTTTAATCTGTTCAGATCTTTTCGGTACTTTCAACGTATAAGAAATTAACCATATAGTGTGATACTATCTCAAGTAAAAGTTAACTTAACAATCCGTTAAGTCGAATTAATTGTAATTTAATTTATTATATACCTATTTTAGTAAAACTTAAAATATTTTGACCATCAGGTTGACTCATAAGATATTTTCTACTGTACTTTTTAAAATGGTTTTTATCAATAATTTTGACATTTAAATCATCTTTTTAATAAATAAAATATTAGTAGATTTTTGTTAATTTACTAATATTTCCTTTAACCATTCCAATTAAGTTCTAGGCTTGTGCTAGGATATGGTTCACGACAATAGTCGAAATGATTCGAACCCTAGATCCTAAGATCGGTAGTCCGTACCCATACCTACGTTACACGTTACCCACGTAACCATTAGGCTATTGACGCTTAAATCATCTGTATTAACCTATACAAATAAATTTATTACACAATAAGTAAGTGCTAAATAAGGAATCCTTTAGTCTATTTAATGACCCAATTCAATAAGCAAACGATAATATATTGAATCACCAATTATTACAATGATACTATGTTGATATAAAGAAAACCATTTAAAAAAAATAATTTAATTAAATATTTTGAAATAAATTTTAATCTTACCTTCCTCTTCAACAGAGTTATCTTCGATGAAAGATTTCGGCATTCTTAATTGCAGAGCATGGCTTTCTAAGAAATCAACTACATTATCCATGATTCTATCTTCGACTTGTGTCTCCCTAGCTTTAGGGTCTGTGTCCAAAGGTTCATAGCTTCGCGCTGACCTTGGGCTGCCGGTCCTAGCGAAGGTAACACCTTCAACTAAATTCAAATCCTTTGCCACCGCAAGATTGTCCGTGAATTTCATTGCCTTCTCCTGGAAAATAAAAAAAAAATTACAATCCAATAAAAAGTAAAAAACAAACTAGTTGAGTTTCTTTAAGTAAGTATTTAATCATTTAGACGCTTGTTAATTGTTTGTAATTTAGTTTCGCATAACGCCATTGTCTATAGAATTCAAGCTTTCTCGTTTAATTATGAGAACTGAAGCTCGATTCAGACGCGACATTTATAATTGCAATGAGAGAGTAAGACAAAAAGAAATAAACGCAACTAGATCTGGATTATCGTTTTATCCCATTTAAGATATCTTCTGTATTATTATTACTTAAGTAGGATAGGCAATATAAGGTCTGGACTGTAAACTAGTCTAAAGCTCTGTTAAATAACCCCTTTAACCTACATTTAACAGTTAAATGTTACTGTAATAATTTACTTTATAAAAATTCTTTCTCTCTCTAAACAGGTGGAAACACCTTAAAAATATTTTTATATCCTGAATTAAATTACGTCACATTTCACTCTGTCACTTCACTACACTTCACTTCACACACCTTAAGGCACAGCATCGTGTCGGTTTCCACGCAATCTCTTAAAGCGGAGATGAATCTCTCCATGACTCCATCTTCTTTCGCCGTTGGCATGGCAACGGTGACAGCCACCAGACACAATATCACGAACGCCTTCATCTTCGACGATGTCCAATGTTCAATTGTCATAAGAGCTTGTAAGTCGGAGAGTTTTATTTTGTGCCCCCCTCCTTCTACTTCCATATGTCACGTTGCGGCAGATGTGTGCGGCTATGACGAAACTCAAAGCACACGATTCTCGCGTACATTAAACAAATTAACATTACACCGCTATTTTTAATGGTATCTTAGAATAAGTGTGCTATCATATTACTACAGGGTCAGGTTGTCCGCATTTTCACTTTTCTATTTTTAAGTTTATGTTAAGTTACTTTTCACTTAATTTGTTACGGTTTAATTTTATGACATAAAGTCTGGCAAGTGTGATTCGAATTTGTTACATTTTGTTTAAATTTTTAGATGTTTTTTAACCTAAATAAACGCTGAATAATGTAGAATAATGTTCTTAAAATTTAAGGTTTCAGATGGTTGCTGTTTTGGCTTTGTTTTCTTTTGTTTTGCTTTTGACAAATAATATATAGACACACAGATAGATAATTCTATACATAATAACGATGACGTGTCGTATGTATTCTCAACTAGCTGTTCCCGTGCGACTGAATCCGCATAAAATTATGAAAATTTTATTTTATTGTTTACATGTGTCAAATTATCAATTGCAAATGTTAAAATGACATGTGATGACATACCATGGCAACCTTGCTCCCTTGTTGTTGGCATCTAGAAGTTTATGGTCCCTTTCCCACATAAAGGTTTTTTCCCACTTTATTTATCCCCCAAGTTAAATAGCGTAAAAATGTATAGCCTAAAGCGTGTCGTAAGTGTAGGGCTTTTAATTAAAGTAAGAATTGTTCAAAAGTATGCTGTGATAGCTGACATCCTACGCCACAAAGTAGTGTGTATTTACGCTTTATTATATTAGTATGGATGAGGTGCGGAGGAAATCGCAGTCAACTAGTATACATTCAGCTGACAGAACAGTTGTAGTTAATTATGCAAAATATTATAAATCTTCTATAATCAAGATCCGAAAAACTTGTTCTGCGATTTCAGGTTGAAATTACGTTCGTTCATTCATGTTTTTTGCATAAGACATTCTCGTGTATCGCACTTTCGAAAGTCATTGATAATTTTCCCATTAAATGTCGAGGTATCGATCCTTGGGCGCAATAAATGCCATTTGTATGCGGTAAAAAAATTATAGCACCTATTTAAACGTGTAGCATTTAGGCGAAAGTTTACTATTGTTCTCAACATAGTTGTTGAATATAAACTGTCGAATTATGTAATTCATTCACTTAGAATTTCTGTATTTTCTTTAAATTTCACTTACGAGAGTTTATGCAATTTAAAGTTTAAGTTAGCATAATGAATACAATGTGAAATTGTATGCGTAATTAATTTTCTATTTTTTTTTTTGTTGGAATATACTGGAATTGTTATTTTTTATATAGTAATTAAGATGTTTTACAAGTTAGTTGACGAAAATAAAAATTGTTTGCATTAAATAACACGTCTCAACACTTTTCACTAAGTATGTCTTATTGAATAGTCATAAGTATGTCTTGTTGAATATAGTCAAATGAATAAAACTTAAGTACACTAAGTACTTGAACAGGGTAGATAGCGGGTGTTTGCAAGTTATAATAACCAATGATTGCACGTGAATTTAAAGATGTAAGTTATTGGAGTTTAGAAGCTTTTTACTCCAGCTTTTAAGCAGCTGAGTAATGTTCACATACAATTAATGATACAGTTCAAAAGATTCTCAGACTTAAAATACTCTTTAAACAAAACAAAAAGGTTCTATTGACGTTCAGACAAAGACATCTGAATCGGTGAGAGTGCACTCCAGTATCCATATTCAAAGACATCCAAAGAATAATACTTTCAAATAAATTTAAACTTTAATATTAACTGTATAAGGTTTACAATCGATTGTCGCGTTGTATTTTCTATATTTAAACTTGACTGTAAGGACAAAATACGTCTTCGAGCACTGGTTGAATGTTTAAGTAATGAGAAATTTCCCTTACATGTTAGTACCAAATCTATTAACGGAAGTCTGTAGATGACATTCTAGGCTCTATGACTATGTAATAGTGTTTGAGTTATATAAAACGACTGAGGCAGTCAATCCTCGTTGTCTCACGTTTACTTCATTCGTTTCCTTAAGTTAAATGTTTTCTCAACGGAAGTTAAATTGCTATTCTGTGATAAAACTTGAAAGTAAATTTCTCTTATCATGTAATGATTATAATTTAAATGTTTAATATGTATTTTAACTTGGGTAAATGTTTTTTTCACCTCAACATTACTTATTTTAGTGAAACAAAGATCTTATATTGAACGTCATACAAAAGACATAAATGGGAGTGTTTATAAAGTAACTTAACTTAGGTCCAACATAAGTTCTGACAGCCTTTTTTTTAAAAGGGGGAATGCGTTACGCATCCCAGGTGCCTTGGGGAAAGACACACAGGGTATGTGGGACTCTCTCCACATTCCTGCCCAAAAGGGAAGGA